GAATGGTTGATGCTAGGGCTTTCATACTTCACATATGTAATCCTTGTGACAAGACCTTCCTTTGGATACCAACCACTTTGACCCTTTGACCTTGACCTAGGAGTTTGACCTACTTTTGAAAAACTTTAACCTTGGCCATAACTTTTGAATGGTTGATGCTAGGGCTTTCATACTTCACATATGTAATCCTTGTGACAAGACCTTCCTTTGGATACCAACCACTTTGACCCTTTTGACCTTGACCTAGGAGTTTGACCTACTTTTGAAAAACTTTAACATTGGCCATAACTTTTGAATGGTTGGTTCTAGGCTTTCATACTTCACATATGTAATCCTTGTGACAAGATCTTTCTTTGGATACCAGCCACTTTGACCTTGACCTTGACGTTTGACTTTTATTTAAAAAACTTTAACCTTCGCCATAACTTTTGAACAGTTGTATCTAGGTCTTTGAAATTTCACAGGTGTATTCCTCGAGACAAGACCTTTCTTTGGGTATCAACATTTTTTATCATTGGCCTGGATTTTGACTTGCATTTGAGAAACTTTAACCTTCGCCATAAGCTGCCATACGGGGGCATTAGTGTTTCACAAACACGTCTTGTTTCATTTGATTCAGACATGTACACCAAGATTAATTGATTTTAACGCGGGTTTTAGTACGATTTCTACATAAATTTTAAGGATTACACAGTATCTACTTTTATAAGTATATAGTGTTGCATATATCATGTAGTTGAGGGTAACCTTGAAAATTTTCACCCCAAGAAAACCATTGTCAACCGAGGCGCAAGCAATTGCAAATACAATTCTTTGCTTTATTTTTTACTTGTCAGAAAAAAAAACCTTAGAGTGAAAGTACTAAAAAGTAATGATGCTTATTTCATGTAGATAGAAGTATAAATTTGTATGAAGTGTGGATACAGTTAGTCTTTGTGCTAGACAAGCGTTCTTGGTTCCTGCAAGACATTCCGCTCCTTGCTTTGTAATCATTAAATTGTTCTTTATGCACCTTCCCCAGTGTTGTGTCTTTTTCGTACTACTTCAAAAAGGACATTATTTTGTTATCACAGTCATAATTTCACAATCTTCAGAATGGTTTCTTCCAGTATCTGGTATTTTTTTAAGTCCAAAGTTCGACTAGAAAGGTGAATGTTGAAGGAATTCTATGTTATTGCTCTAAAACTCGAGCGAAGACGGTTCACGCTGTACATAACGGACTCAGCCGTGGGAAGGGTGAGGGGGTTCCGGACCACCCTGATTTTTAGATATGACACTTAATTTAGTAAAAATTACCAAAAATGACTTTACCCCTTCCAAGGATACACAGACGCCCGTAAGAGTTGGTATAAATATTTGTGATTATATACAATAAATTTCATGGTCCTTGCCTCTCTGGGGCCTGACGGATGGGGCTAAAACCATCAACATTAATGCAATCTATCAAAATCAATCTTCCTCTTTACTCCTGGACATCAAGCAGTTGAACTGTTGTCATGATTGTTATAAAAATTGAGTCCTCTACCAAAATTGTGAAATTCATGGCCCTAGAATCAAAGGTTCTGGAGTTATGGCGGGGCTCTTAGATCATATAGTGAAAATGCATAAATCTATATATAAATATTCTCCTCTTCCCCTGTATATTTACAATTATGAAGAGCAAGGGTGCATATGTGAATTTGTTGCCCCAGGGTCAGAGGTTCTGGTGGGGGTGGGGTCGGATGGAGAGCTCTATTAATTATATAGTGAAAATGCATTTATTTGCTTATGTGTTGGTGGTGGTGTGGGGGGGGGGGGGTCTATTGAGTATATAGTGAAAATACATTATTTCTTTGAAAATCTTTTGCTCTGCTCATGGGTATTTAACAAACAAAGTGCAAAGTTATGATAAGCGAGAGTGCCACTTTCAAAATTGTGCATTTCATGGCCCCTGGATCAGGGATTCTGGTATTAGGGTGGGGGATGTGTTGAATGTATAGTAAAAATGCATTAATTAAAAAAATTGCTCTGCTCCTGGATATCTTGGTACTAAACAGAGTAAAAAGATGTAATAAACAAGGATATCTAACCCCATTTGTGAAATTTTGCCCTTAAAAAAGCGAATGAATTTGTCAGCGGCTCTACAGCAATGTGTTGACTCAGGACCCCTTGTCATTGTGGGGACGGTGACAAATCGCGCCAAGAACAGGCAAGTAAATAGATCTAATTAAGATTTATTATGGACTACTAGACTAATTATTTTGTTCCCTGGTCATCCCATTTCTTTTGCATTTTATCAGTTTGTTTTATTTTATTCTTCTATGAATCCTTTACAGTGTTGTATTACACTCAGGTGATCGTTAAAGGCCTTGAGCCTCTTGTTAAATATATGACCACTTGGTAAGTGAACTTTGACTATCATAAACCACTCATATAATAAGGACAATATCATTTAACTAATTATAACTTAATTGATCAGACTAAGACACTTGAACCATGGTCACTTCATGTACTTGACAATCTACACTAAAATAACAAGTCAACACAACCATACGGCATACCTATTCAACCTTAAACGATAAGAATGAAATGTATGGAAGTAACGAACAGTATTCAAGCTCAAAAGTACATTAAACAATACAAATTTTGGAGCAAAGCAAACAGACCTCTAAAACACCAGAGGTGGGATCAGGTGCCATGGAGGAGTGAGCATCCCCTGCCGACCGGTCACACACCCCGTGTGCTCCTTGTCATGATCGGGAAATAACGAAAAAAAACCCGTCGACAATTCAGTGTGTAAATAATAGCCTAACAATTAGTATGAAAACGTCAGTCAGCATTTTACTTTATGATAAATTGTATTTGATGACAAGGCCATTGTATCGACCATAGGAATTACGAAATGACGACTTTAAACTAGGGATGTCAACGAATATTCGAACATTCGAATATTCATTCGATGAGTTGATATTCGAATATAAATTTAAGATTCGAACATTCGGTTTTATACACATTTTCATTAAAAGAAGTACCGTGATTAATAAATATTGATTAAATATAAACTTTCTTGGAATGTCTAAAAGACGTGAAGAGTATACTTATCAAAATAAATTTACTTGATCATTGAATGAGTGTCTGATAGAATTCGTCTGTAATTAATACTGTAAAGGGCTCAATTTCAGAATAAATGTGTAAATTACTTGATTATCTCGGGTTGTAAATAATCCTGAATTTTATATTCATTATCGGGAAATTAGTTAATTACCTAGGAAAATTGTCTATTGAAATATTTGTTTACACTGTATCAAAGATAATAATCATATCTCTTATCCAGACAGATAATTGTAATTTATTACACGTATTGAAATCTGAACAGTATACCGTTACGACTACTAGTATCTTGCCTTTTGTCAGACGACTGGTTCCTCAGTTGGAGCTACTATAAATACACGTTTCATTTGTTAAAATTATACTTTTCTACATTTAAATCATTATTTATTTCAAACATTGACAAATATCAAATGGAATTTCTTATTTTAAACCTACAAAAGTCTTCATACAATTTAACTTCCAATATAAGTACATGTATATCTACGCTAAACCTTTCATGAGAGTAGGATGATGCATATTTAAAATAAAACAGATTTTATTTATTTTATCGAATATTCGAATATATTCGAATACTTTCATTGAATATTCGAATATGAATTATTGACAAAATTGGCATCCTACTTTAAACGAGATTGCTGATATTCTTGTTTCATCAACTTGTTTGTCAATAACTTACCTCGTTTTAGAAGAGCATGCTCTTGCGTATCGAATCAACTCCGTATGCAGGTGATGAAGGTATATTCATATTGCTGCATAAGTAAGAGAAGTTGATGGTTGTTAAATTAAAGTCATCACGTTTATCATAGATTACCATTAACGTCTTTTTCTAATAAACTATCGAAATATGAAACAGATATTTCAGACTCTGTGGTATCTTTTATTTTAAGCTCATTGGGATATATCGTATCGACATAATCTTGAATGGAAATAACCATTGTTAATTGATTGACAATACGTCGTCGATATTCGGATATATCTAAATGTCGAGTTACAGGCCACAGCAAGTGTTTTCTTCTTTTCACGTATAAAATTAAATTTATTTTATTTTTTACTATTTCATATTTATATTTTATTATATTCGGTGCATTATCATATCTTATAGTCAAAAGGGCCATTCCACCTGTCATATTCAGGAATACATGTATTAGTTTTGTGAGCGAATCATTCAGAAGCTGTCCAGCTTGTATATCTCGAAGATATTTAACTAAAGGCAGTTCATTGTAACAACATACACACGACATTTAATATCTATTTCACATCAGAATTTATTACACTATTACAAACTATTAAAATGTCTGAATTGCCCATGTACCTTGTACATATAAAGAAAACAATGATAGATGTGTTCATAGATTGTTTACTAAAACCTTACATCAAAAGAATATAATATAACAATCACTATGATCACCAAGAACTTGCTAATGAAAGGCTAAATAATTAGAAACACATATTTTCCAAACCACAGTACTAAATTTAATGGTTATACAAATTATGAAATACAGTTATTGACTGGGTTTGAGGGCAACATACGTTTTGTCAGACCCAAGAACCACACTGTTTGCCTGAGGCCTAATGGCCTCAGGCAAACAGTTTGGTTCGAGGGGTCGGGTCAGAGCCTAGTCAATTAATGTTTTATTATACCTTTCACTTATTTGACATATTTTCCGTCGGCTTCCATGGTGTAACAGTGCGGTTTAAACTCGGTCAATACCGTTAACTGTAGAACACCAAACGAATGCAAATGATATAATTGATCTTGCCCACAGTGTGACGCAAGCGGTCCAATATCTCAAAGGTAGGTCCAATATATCACTTTGTGGTCAAACATCCATTTTTTTTTTTTTTTTTTTTTTTTTTTTTTTTTTTTTTTGACAATTCAGTAAAGCGTTGGAAATGTTAGACTTTTTTAGGGAAAAAATTTAAAGGTTAAAAATTTGTAATATTTAACTTAAGTGCCCACAAGTAAGAAAAAAAATACACACAAACAAACTATTGCAACACAATAACCTTAAGTTAAAAAAGATATTGATAACTTTCTTAAGCCTACAAGAAGCAACAAATTAAGAATAAACCTTTTAATTATAAATAGAAGAAAATGACATAAGTGTAGCATGTTCTGAAAAAGTTAGCCATAGCAAAGGGGATCGAGAATATGCCATGATTTATTATACACCTGTTTACTGGCTATGAGCCTCAGGAAATAGTTGCGGTCTTGGGGGACAATAAACTTGCTACTGTCCAAATAGTCACTATAAATGTGCTTTATTATATCGAGGCAGACTTTTTTGTGTCCCATCTTGATCCGGATAAACCAGAAAAGTTCCAAGATAAAAAGCGAGGAAAATCAAATGCTGCCGGTGAATAGTTCGCGGACTATTTCACCAGGGGCAAATAGCACAGAAACTATTTTACAATAGGGGCTGTTTAGAAAACAAAAATATTGCAGGTCTTTTAATCATATTTTTATGAAGAAAAAAAATTTACAGAGGTATAATAATAAATATCTATTGTGATTTTCAGTAAAGAAGAGTCTCTATATTCTCTATATAGAGAAACGGTCAGCTTAATCGATATCATCTCCTCCGAAAAATATTGACGGTCAGTTAATTTTTACTATTGGCCGGCAAAGAGTTTTCCAACATTTTTATTGATTTGGATTCTGATCAGTATATTAATTTATTTTGACGCAATGATACTGTCTCGACTTCCAAAAATAAAAACAAGAAATCACACTTAAAAACCTAAGGAACACAATCATTTGTTAGCACTAGTCTACAATCAAATTGCAGATAATGCACCGATACAAATTATTTATTTAAAACAAAATACTATTTTATTGATTTGTTTTCGTTTCATATAACAATTTTCAACTGTGTTTTCGGGCAACATTGATTACGTCAGCCCCTCGGGATAAAAAATATTGCCCTCTGCTCCGCATCAGGCAATATTTCATCCCTTGGGTGCTAACATAATCACTGTTGCCTGAAATCAGTCAATATTTACGTATCAAATTATCTTTTAGAGTATCACTTAGAGTATCACTCTTCAGTGTACGCTTTATCCATGTTCAGATAGATCAAAGCAAATGCAAAGAAGCATAAGTCTGCAATGAAAAATTCTTATGGAGGTAAGAACTGCCACTACAAGAAATATGCATATGATGAGAACCTCGAAATGAAATTTTTACAATGACTAAATGAATACTACTTCTAAATAAAATCCTTTATATAAAGTCCACCCTCTAAATGATACATTCACAATGAGATGAGTAAGAACTATATTCAAATGAAATAATTCATAATGAGAATTTACAGTGTCTAGATAAATATCTGGCATGTAGTCTAGCTCCTTGAACAATTCAAAGAAATAAGAAATATGTTTTCAGTCAGAGTACACATGTAGGAGATAATAAGAGTCTATCTTAGATGACTTCAATATGGCAGTTCCTCATAGTCTCAAATAAAAAACTGTATACACATTTTGTATTCTGTTCACTCCGTATTTTCTAAAAAAAAATTTGGAAGGTAATTTCAGTGCCATTGAATTCAGTCATTATAACTACAATCCCTTGTGTTTTCACAGTTGGGCCATTTCAAGTTTTTTCTATGGTTAGTGTTTATGTGCGCTTTGGTTTTTGACACCCCATATCAGAAAAAAAAACAAACAAACAAAATCAGAAGTCCTGAAATTGTTTATTCTGGTCGAAATCACTGAATTCTGTCAATTTCTCTAAATATTTGTCTACAATATGTCATACTTGGAATACTGTAAGCATTTAATACCTTGATTTTGCTGAAGAATAGATATTTCCACGAGAAAAAAAGATTAATGAAATCAAATTCTTTGAATGACGTTATTTTTATGACTATAGAGCTTGTGTTTCACTTTTTGGGTTGTGTGTTTTCTGCGAATAGGTAGGTAGGTATTTGAAAGATGGGTGGACGCTAAACATAGAAAAACTTGCAATGGCCTTGTGAACTAAACATTGCGAAATCACAGAAATTGTACAAGGGACATCCTCCTAAATGATGAAACATCTCATGATTTTCCATTGCAAGCAACATTCCAGTCTATTTATTTGAATAAATTTACCTAAAAAGTCATTCAAAAAAGAATTTTATTTCTTCACTATTAAAAAGCTCAAAAACTTGTGATCAAGAGCACACTCCAACAAGAGATGGCTCACTGCACTTTTCCACCCCACAGCATTAAAAAGCCAATATACTACCCACTATAAATAGACTACATGTACCAGATTTCAATAATACATGTACTTGTATTTTTCCAGATTGTATGAGGGGACTCTGTAGTTTCAGTTTTTTTCCATCATCACAATATCTTGATCAAGGTGTAGAACTTCTCATGAAAATTATCATTAAACATCACTGTATACGTGCAGATAAATTTTTCTGACAGGCTTATCTACAGATCTTGTTTTCTTTTAAGAATTGTAAAAAAAAATATCATTTATGGTGGGTAGCATATTATCTTTCTCTCTGTGCATGGCCAGCCCTAATGCCAGTTTTTCTCTGAGCTTTGGGGTAAGCTCTGAGCTGGAAAGTGATGCTATGATCTTGAAGCAGATTTTAATTTTATTACTATTATCGGATTATCTGCGTGGTTCTTGGACATCTACTACCAGTTTGATAAACATTGTGTCATCCTTGACATAAGCTAGACTAGGATCGTCCAGTTTTGAGAGGGGGATAAAGAGGGGACAGCCACTAGCGATGTTCATTTCTGTCGTGGGTCGCTTAAAGGAGCTGCTGTTGGGATCAGGACGAAAGGAATCCACCTGATGCTCCTTGTTGTTTTGATCCAAAAGCATAAAAGTCACACGGTAAGAGAAAGGCCACATCAGCAGGGCATCAAAATTACCTGAAAATATTAAATATTGTCTTTATGTATCCATAAAACTCATTCTTAATACAGATATGTTCGTAAGAATACACTGACCAGAGGTATTATGTACATGTAACATATCTTTATGTAAGGGACCCATTTACTATAGTACTCAGTCAATTAAGAATTGTTCATTAGTTTTCGATACCATTTCAGTACAATTTTCAATATTTCAATTACAGAGTGCTTACTTCCTGGTGAGAAATATACAATTGCAATGTACATGTATATGAGACAACTTACCTCTCATGACAACAAAGAAGATGGACATGTGTGTGTTCTTCCCCATACCGTCTCCATTGGGATACAGTCTGGCACACATCTTGTAGCCATTCTTGTTGGTGTAGAAGATGGGGGAGTATAAACTTGTGACCTGGTTACTCTGGGCCTCAGATCGACGCTTTCCCCACTCAGAGATCTTCCAGATTAACGTCCCGTCATAAGTTGTCAATTCTAGTGTCTTGATTCTTAGTTCCTGTTCCGCTAAAGCAACATCCTTTAGAGAGAAATCAAAGTTTACAATTAATTTTCACAAAATTGCTTACTTCAAAAGCTGTACGAAAATCAAGTTACTAAAATGACAAAGCATAATTATTCAATTTATTGAACTGATCAAATCCTGTTCTCAATACCCAAAGATACTCTATGAATAATGTATTCAGGAATGATAACCAAACCTAGGGAAGAGAAAATATACTGCCAACAAAGCATTTGCAAAATCTTCTAGAATAACATTGGCCTTTAAATTAGAAACTTTGTTCAATATTAAAGCAAAATTATCTAAAGATGCTCTAGTTGAGATACAAATAGTACTGCACCACCAGGAATGAGAACACACCCCAGAAAAGACATTTTATACAATTGAGTATGACAGGCATATAGATGGGAAGGTTGGTGTTCTTCACTAATAAGCTTTACTTTACTCTCTTCAGAAATTACATACTGTATGTGTACTTTAAAAAGTGGGCTTCATATTTTAGCGGCTTTGGCGTGGATAACAATGCGCTAATTCATGAATACCCTAAAAAAATCATTTATAAATACACAAATGTAAACTAGAAATATATCCATAGGACATGAATGCCCCGCCGAGGGTATATTAATAATGCAACATGAAAATTTGCATTAGTGTATGAAATTTGATGAGAATATCTTGAATAGTTTCTTTAAAATTGAAATTGAAATCTAAAAAGTTGGATGTAGATGATAAATTCTCACCAAATTATGCATAAGTGCATAAGCTTACATAAATATATCTTAAATGGTTTCTTTAAAATTAATCAAAATGCAAATTTAAGAAAAGGTCAGGGTCACAGGAAATTATCAGCATATTAAGTTTGATAAAAATATTTTGAATGGCTTATTTAAAACTGAGCTAAACACTAATTTAAAATAAATGAAGTTAAGGTCAAAAGAAAGGTCAAGGTCAAAAAATGTTGATGCAGTTGAAAAGGTTACATTAGTATGTTTAAGCATATGAAGTTTGATAAAAATATTATGACTGGTTTCTTTAAAACCGAATTAGGGTGAATTCACCATGCATCGGACACCCTCGCACTTCAGCAAGTTCTAGTGATATCGCTACCGACCAAATATTATCAAAATGGAACTTAACATGTAGTATGTGGTTAAAATATAAATTTTTGACACAATCGTGTCCTATTTATTAAGAAAATATCATTAAAACCCGATTTTTTCGAAATAAACCAATGTTCATCATGCATCGGACACACGATATTTAAACCAGAAAAATATTATACTTTAATCTCGGTGCTTTAAGATTATTGAAATCGAAACATTTTTATCTTTTATTTAAAAATTAACCTTCTAATTAAATTTAAATGACTATTTCGATTCACAAATGTGAAGAGATTTTAGTTGCATCACATCGCCTTAGACAGGCTTTACAATGCTAGTAATATGGCAACTCGTGCCTTTGTCTCGTGGGTTATTATCATCTAGTTTAAAGAAATAAATTGAGACAACTTCTAGTCGTCATATATCGATAATTTGTATTTTCACTGAAAACTTAGAGTGTCTATTTTCTATTTCCGTAAAAAACAGCTGTCATTTGGGTTTTACATGAAAATGGAAGTGATTACCCATGCATTGGAAAGTGTCCGATGCATGGTTAATTTGTGTCTGATGTACGGTGAAATAAACATACTAGATAAAAACAACTCTAAAAAATATTATACAAACACTGAGGTAAAATTTTTGAAAAATTTCTGTAAAATTATCAATCATTGACAAATTTTACGCAGGTCTGACCCATTCGGTTGACGTCTATTTAAAAGAACGACAACTCTAAAAATTGCAAAATCGAAAAAATTCTGGTTACTCCTCTTTGATGATGCCAAATATGACATAATTTCAAGGCCATTCTTGTGGTATTTTTATCACAACATGAAAATAAAAATCAGCATCATTAAAAAGTTTAATTCTTCACCTTTAAGACAGAAACAAGTTAAAACACGGGGAGACTCAGGTTCAATGAAAGTTTACTGCTTAAAGTTGTCCGAAGCAAGGTATGTGTCCGATGCATGGTTAACTCACCCTAAACACAAACTGAGAAAAGTGAGGTCAAGGTCAAAGGAAAGGTCATGGTAAAAAAATATTGATGCAGTTGAATAGCTGACATCATTATGTATCAGCATATGAAGTTTGACACTAATTGAAGAAAAGTGAGGTCAAGGTCAAAGGAAAGGTCAAGGACAAAAATGTTGATGCAGTTAAATAGCTTACATCAGTATGTATCAACATATGAAGTTTGATTATACTATCTTGACTGGTATCTTTAAAACTGAGCTAAACACTAATTTAAGAAAAGTGAGGTCAAGGTCAATGGAAAGGTCAAGGACAAAAACGTTGATACAGTTGAATAGCTTATATCAGTATGTATCAACATATGAAGATTGATTACACTGTCTTGAATGGTATCTTTAAAACTGAGCTAAACACTAATTTAAGAAAAGTGAGGTCAAGGTCAAAGGAAAGGTCAAGGTCAAAAAATGTTAATGCAGTTGAATAGCTTACATCAGTATGCATCAACATATGAAGTTTGATTTCACTATCATGAATGGCATCTTTAAAACTGAGCTAAACACCAATTTAAGAAAAGTGAGGTCAAGGTCAAAGGAAAGGTCAAGGTCAAAAAAACGTTGATGCAGTTGCATAGTTCTCATCAATATCTATCAGCATATGAAGTTTGATAAAAATATCTTGTATAGTTTCTTTGAAACTGAGCTTTGAACAGAGCTAAAGACATATGGAAGAACTGAAGGATGGAAGGACGGAAAACGGACATGACAAACACTATATGCCCTGGCCATATTCATGGCGGGGCATAAAAATATGAGGTGGACGTGTGTAGCGCTAATTCATGATTACGCCAACCACTCAATACCCAATGATTGCACTAAATTTTGAATACGTCAATTTATGTACACGTACAGTACATAAACATAAGTATAAACTTAATGAATTTTTACTGTGGTAAAATACTGATTAATCTATGCTGCTAAATTACCAATGTACTAAATTTGAACCCACCTTGAGTGAAATATTTCTTTCCAAGGCTCTGATTTTCTTTTCTTGATTTTCTATAACTTGTTTGTCTCCTTGTCTGTTCCTTTCCACATTCTCTATTGCCGTTATACAACGCTCAATTTCTCTATGTAGAGTTGTAACAATGCCTTCAAATGTCCCCGTTTTTAACTCAAGAGCCTGAACTTTTGCCCTTACCACATTGGAATCCCCATCCCCTGAGGTCCCCCCACCAGCTGGACCTGAGGTCTGTAAGGCCTGAATTTGCTGATCCTGTTGTTGTACTTTCTGTTTGAGTTCAGTTATGTGTGAAATAAACTGACCAAGGTCAGTCTGGACAACAGCAGACTGAAGTCTTGAGTTAAATTCCTGTAGTCTTTCCACCAGGGCTTGTATATGTATTCCAGGCTTCCTATCCAGATGTTCCACGTACTTGTCTCTGCTTATCTAAAGAGAAAAAATTTTACATAGAAAACCTTTCTTGCTCATCACAAAAGAATTCATGGATTGTCCTGTACTCTATGTTTGCTGTAACTGACCAACTGCTTCACCTAGAATCTTGTTTTATTACAATTTCAACAGTGAAATTCTGTGATTTATTTATGAATAAGTGATATTCTCTCACAATGTGAAAGGGTACCAAAGTGATATTCTGTCACAGTGTAAAAGGATATCAAAGTAAGTAAAAAATAATTTCTAGACTGTCATAAGATAGAGAAAGTAGCTAAACCAATAAAACTGTCAAATTCCAAAAAATGAGTTGCTAAAATCCATGTTACAATGTTTTCAATCTCACAACTGCTAAGCTATTTATGACATCTCAACCGCTAAACTATGCGTCACAGCCTATGACACTGTGTTAAGGCAGAGGGAAAATCAAAGTAAAATGTAATAAACAGAAAATTCAATATTTTGTATTTGGATGTGGAATTTATTCACTCATTTTTATATTTTCACTCATGTGAATATCCTCTATTTTCACAGTACACTTACATCCCCACAGTCTGGAAGACAGGGAACTTTCTGGTTTGAGCACTCTTTATCTATGTGATGCTGCATCTGTACAAGTAATGTATAAGTACATGTAAATTATGCAGATTTTTGTCCATACAAAATTTACATTAATTCTTTTCACTAGCATACATATTTAGTCATAAGCTCCTGAATTACCTTGTCCCTCTGTATTTTTTTCTTGCCACAAGAATCACATTTGATTGGGAATTTTGGACATTCCAAGTTATGTTTCTGTAAGAAAATGACAAGGAAAACCCATTTTTTAATATGTCAAGCAACTCAAACAAATTACAGCAAACTAATGAGGGAATTTATGTTTCCCACTTTAGGAAAGAAGTTTTAAGATATTAAATGTAGCTTTATACAATTTTTTACCTTGACCTTTAACCCTATCACCTAATAATCAACAGGGGTCATGTTTTAGTTATAAAGGTATTGAAGTGAATCTGGAAACCATTTCATACCACATATGAATTTGTGATCTTTACCTTTTGTCCTAAAAATAGGAATCTTCTATAAGTTAGAGTCATCAACAACTTAAGTTTTATTACAAAAGCTCAAACTGAATTGGAAAGCTATCATTTGAAAACCATTTATGCAATAATAATTACTCAGTATGTGAATTTTTAATCTTGGCCTCTGACCTTTTGACCTCAGAATAAAAGGAGTTCTTCTTTAATTTATATGGAGTTATGATATAAAATTTAATTTCAAAAGGTAAAGGACTTTTAGAGACTAAAGTGTACCATTTCATACAATATACATGTATGAATTTGTGACTGATCTTTCATCTTTCAGTCTCAAGGCAATAGGGGTCTTTTTTTATGTTAGCATTAATTACCTAAGTTTCATTGCAGAAGCTCTCAGAGAACTTAAGTTATCATCTGGAAACCATTTTAAGCAGTAGATGAGTTACTGACCATGGTCTTTGACCCTATGATCTCAACACCAATAGAGGTCTTCTTTATGTCATAGGGAGATATAAAATTTTATTCCAAAAGCAAAAGGAATTTTACGGATTTCATCCAGAAAGTAAAGTATTACAGACAAAATAATAGATAGACCCAAATTCATATCCCCCCTTTTAGAGGGAAACAATAATTATCAAAAGAAGAATTACATTATGTCTGTTCTTATATCAATATTTTTTTTTCCTTTAATGTAGTACAAAGCCACCCTCTAGTTTCACAAACCTCCACGTCCTCCATAGTGATCTCTGACTGGCAATATTTACAAGCCACCTTCCGTTTTGGACACTCCTTAGTCATGTGATCCTGCAGAGCCTGAGGTTCAATAGGCATTCCACACTGCTGACAAGGAACTGGCTTAAATTTACATTCTGCCATATGACCCTGAAAGCAAATCAATTAAAAGAAAAAGTTTACTTTGCATCCGTCATTCAGAGGACTAGTGGCTGCGTGGCTACTTGTCCAAGTGCAAGTTTATCGATTCAGATTAAACTTCTAAACTTCTAGATAACCATGAATTCACTAATTTTTGCAGTTTTTGTGGTATGAAGAGATCCACAAATTCATGTTCTCCTTGAAATGTTAAAATTTCAACCTATAGTCGTATGTTTTTTCTTCAACCATGAAATCAAATGCCCATAAACCAATATTTTTTTCCTTAATCCATGAAAATTTGACCTCACAAATATAAGTGATTTTACAGTATGACATTAATTTCTGACCTCATACTGCTTGAAAGTTCCTTTCCAAGTACATTTTGGGTTGATGCATTTGGCTGGCATGGCTCCCATTTCTCTTCGAACAGCATTGTCAGGAAACATCTATGTACATGTATATTAAAACTTCATTTGAGTCTTGCTACATGTATATTTAACAATGAAGTCAAAAACCAATTCTTTCGTGTATTTTTAATATAACCTGACAAGTAACAACTGACCTGATCCATTTTCAGTATACTATATTCTTCATCCATTGTTCCTTCTTCAATACAGGATTGGCATCTTACTTGCTCATTAGATCTGATTTGAAAAAAAGAGGCCCATGGGCTACATGCTCACCTGAGTCACTTTGGCCCTGCTGTTCTTTATCAGCAGGTTTTCTTTTTAAATTTCCCTCTTTAATTTCATAATTGACTCCATATTGTGGACCAAAATCTAGCTTTAAGGGTCGTAAGGGAGCTATGATTGAATCAAAGTTGAATCCAGACAACAATGGGATGCTTCAATATCAATACAATCAACATGATCCTGCTATTCTGGAGAAGATTTTTTTTTCTTGTACAAGAATTGGGTAAAATTTGGATTTTTTGATTTCAGCTCAACCCTAACCCCAGGGATCATAATTTTTTTTTTAAAAAATGATTCACAGCAACTAAGGTATATTTTGCTTATTGATATGATTTAGAGTGGTTTTTCCAGTCTTGAAAAGATTTCTTCCTATATGCATGTTCTCTCTTGCAAAACTCTGATCCTCAGTAGTAGCCTCCAACTATTCTGAGGGCTAATCTGAACAAACTTGAATCTGAACTACCCGAGGATGCTTGCATATTGATATGACTAATAATGGCTTTGCTGTTCATTAGGAGTGAAACTGTTCACCGCCAGTTTATTTCAGCGTGGTATTTTTTGTTGATTTGATACATGGATTTAGAACAAAATCTCCATTTGCGTTCGGTTCTCTTTTTGATCAGGATCGTTTTTCATTCTGGTTTGGCATTTGTAAAACAGGCTACACAGCATGATTAAACACTAAGTATTTTAAAAATTGTGATTCTTGAAGACTTAGAGTTTGTACAATAATCATTAACTAGTCAATCTCTTCTAGTCAATCTGCATGCAAATTAAGTTACTGCTTTTAGTAGTGAACCAAGACAAAAAAAAAACAACTTTGAATTTGTTTCCTTCAATCAAATGTATTGTATCGGAAATAACTGTACCATGACAGAATTATACTGTATGTATCATATTGTGAAAAAAGCATATTGTTTCATCCCTACTGTTCATTAGAGGAAGGATTTTTAAGAATGTTCCTTTATATTTCTAAGTAAAAACTTCTCCTATTGTGGCCCCACCCTACCTGCAGGGGCCATTATTGGAAAAAAAACTTGAATCTTAACTACCTAAGGATGCTTCCATATAAATTTAACTGATCATGGCTTTGCTATTCTTGAGAAGAAGATTTATGAATATTTTTTATTATACATATTCTTTCGTAAACTTTGATCACCTAATGTTACTACCCATGGGGGTCATGATTTGAACAAACTTGAATCTATACTATCTGTGGATGCTACCATATTAATATGACTAGTCATGGCCTTGCCGTTCTTCTTCAGAAGATTTTGAAAGATTTTTTTTCTTAAATATTAATATATAAAACTTTGATTTCCTATTGTGGCAAAATCCTACTGCCAAGAGCCATGATTTGAACAAATTTGAATCTACACTAAGTCTACCTGGGGATGCTTCCATATTAATATGCAATTAATAGCTTTGCTGTTCTTGAGAAGGAGATTTTCAAAGACCTTTTCTTATATATTCACATGTAAAACTTTGATTGCCCATTGTGGCCTCACTTTACTATGGGGTAGGGGGTCATGATTTGAACAAACTTGAATTTACACTATGTAATGGAGCTTACATATATATTTCATCTTTTCTGGTCTTGTGGTTCCTGAGATGAAGATTTTTGAAAGATTTTAAAATTTTCAGTAATTCTTAATTAATCTCCCCCTTGAAGAGGGCATGGTGGTCCTTCATTTGAATAATCTTTAATTCCTCACCCAAGGATGCTTTGTTGCAAGTTTGGCTGAAATTGGCCCAGTGGTTCTGGAGGAGTTGAAAGCATGACAGACAGACAGATGCCAAACACTCTTTGATCAGAAAAAATATTTAAGCCTTTGACTAATGTGAGCTAAAATTCCTTATAAAATATTTTGGTAAGAATGTCACAGGATACTAATCAATAAGAAAGGAAAATTGTAAGAAGATAAAATCATTAAATTCTATTTTATATTGTATCAATGAAAAAAAGTGAAGAAAACAGACTGTGATCCATTTCAAAAATTTACAAACAATACAAATCTGTGAACAGGGCATAAAACATGGACCCTCTGAAATTCTAGGTGGGATCAGTTGACTAGGAGTAAGCATCCCCTGTCAACTGTCACACCTACGATGAGCCCTAAGTAATGATCAGGTAGATGGAAAATTCCGTAGTCAGATTTAGTATAAAAACAAAAGGCCTAGCAATTGGTATAAAAAATGTCAGCCAAAATATGACCCAATGATAGGTTATATTTCCTAACAAAGTCATTATAACAACCACAGAATTACAAAATACTGACTTTAAACGAGGTTGCTGATATCCTTGTGATACCAACTTTTATTACAGTTCATAACCCACCCAAAATCATTTTAAAATCACATCTCCAATAACATGGTTAAATCTTATAACAATTCCATAGGTAATATGAAGTTGAATTTCAGAAAACCTTCTTATATACTATAAATGGTTAATTCATACAAATCAAAGTATTGGTCACGTAATGGTTATGTAATGGTATTCTTTTTTTTCCCAAATGACAATTGCAATTCTATTTTAAAGAAGTTAAACTTAAGAAACCTGTGTGCTATACATTAAGATGATGAAAAAAAATCTTTTCATTTCCATGCTTTTAACAGAAACACAATTTTTTGCATTATTAAGAGACAGACAATTGCATAAAAATACAAAATATTTTGAAAAAAATATATCATATTAATTCAAATTTTAATATTGATTTAATCAAATTGTAGGAATTTACCTAATAATGCTTTCCATACAGGAGCGACAAAATCTGTGACCACAGTAGCTCTGTACAGGGTCTCTCAAAATTAATGAACAATGGTTGCACAAAAATTTCCTGTCAAAGCTTTCATTGGTAAATATTTCTACGGGGTAGCCGCCTATTACTTGTGGTGATGCCATCTTAGTTCCCTTGGTAATCTGCTGAAAATTAAGCAGACAATGAGAGATTTGAAAGTATACTTTAGGAGATGAAAGATATTCTTTTATTATCATATTTTCCACAAGATCCAGTTTAAAGTTGGAATTCATCTCATATAAGCATCTGCATGGCATAGTTTTACAAGAGAATTTACCATAACATAACACACACATTCACCAGGAGAAACATAAAATTGAGTAATTGAATTAAATGATCCTGAATTTGATTAAAGCTATATATGGAATACCATATTAAAGAAAAAAAATGAGATTGAGTTTAGATAAATGTCATATATGTTATTTACGTTCAAATCAAAATAATTTTCACGGATTTTGAACTTGAATAACCTCATCTTTCCATAGTTAAATTGATTTTAAACTGTGTCTGTTAAATATTGCAGAGTCGGTAAATAAATTGGTTATTGTTTTAAATTTCTAATATCTTTGAAATGTGATTGATTTAAATTGTGTAATTTACAGGAAAGTCTTATCTTCATATAAAGTGATAAAACAAATAGAAAGATCTTTTTAATTTTAGTAAGTCTGAACTTATATAAAATACACCATACATGACTTTAAGATATTGATTCAAATTTGCATCTCTTTACTTTGTGGATAAGCAGAAATAAAAAAATTTTAACTAATGGTTGAAAACAAAATTGACTTAATTCCTAAGTACATGCATTGTATATTGATTGCAGCAATCTCTATGTATTAACATGTATACAACAAAATAGAGGAAATTTGAAATCTGCACATTAGTGCACAAATTTTTGTGTTCCAGTTCAAAGAATTCCCTGGCTACCACAATTCCAATGAAACATACAGACATTGTAATGACCAACAAATATAACATATGCGACCAAGATCTAGTTCTTGAAAAAATAATTGTGTTATCTACTTATCTATGGAAAATCTGGAACACTCTGGAATACTTATAATGTGCCCTATAAAAATGTCATCAAAATAAGCATATTAAAGTGTTGCTGAATGTAGTTTCTTTATACATATAAGATTGGGTGAGCAATCGATAAAATCCTTCAAAAGACCCCCCAAAAAAGGGCAAATATAAGCAAAAATTTGTATTCACTGTGAAAATACCAGCTTAAAAACTGGTTTCTACATTTTTTTAAATCTTAATTTAAAATTGTTGTTAAATAATGAACTTGATTTCTACATATGACCAATCCATCTTCCATTGTTTAAAAATATGGTCAGATGATCGATTTTTGATTTATTTTCATTAATATTCTGAATCATGAGTTATGTCACTTGTGTCTTTTTTGTATTGAGTAAACAGCTGATTGGACTCAAAGTAAAATGCATCAAAAATTTCTAAGAGGTTACTGAGAAATGCAGGAATTTAACAAGTGTAAACTAACTACAGGTAGTTGGATGGCTGCACTTTGCATCATCATGGATTTGAAAGGAATAATATTTGGAAATTTTCAGAAAATGAAATGATGACTTACCAATAATCTACTTGTACACAGGGTACACCTTCAGCTGATTCATGCAAGTTTACATATGGTCACAAAAGGCTTTTGGCAGTGCCCTTTGTTTAAGCAAAAATTGCATGAATTAGCCCAGATGTATGAAAATGTGACATGAATATAGTTCCAGTAAATAAACAATTTACTCTAACTCGAATCTTATGATATAAATATCACAGCTTAATTGTGGCCCTACATTAATTCAAGCAAGGGGATTTTCTTAAATTAGATATCTCATTGTACAGTGTAAAGCATTAGCATCTTTCGACATACGGCTGATATGCATGTTTTGGGTCAGAAGTCAGTTAGCAATGTCTTTGTAATCAAAATATTACTATACAAATCAGTCAAAAATCAGGGAAATGTTTGTAGATTTAAAATTAATGTTCCAATCTTTGACTTTTTTTTTAACTTACTATAATCACTCGATTGAAGTGAGAGGCTGGCTCAAGTTAAAGGCATCTCTATAAAGTATCAATCTTTTTTATTTTACCATACCAACAGCGAACTTCAGTTAATATGACTGCACTTCCACTATCGGTAACAAGGTCGAACAAATCACGAAGAACTAAACAGAACTGTTTCTAGAAGGAAGTGTCCCATAACTGCATACGATAATCAACTAGGAAGGTCAACACCACGACGTTAAATTACAATAATGAACGAGCAACATAAACATGACTATACTAGACTCACAGCTAAAGTAAATACAATGAAATAACTGTATACTTTTTAAAATCACATTCTTATATGGGTGGTTATGTTAGAAAAATTAAAATATATACTTTCACTTTCAATTCCAAACACGGAAAAGAGGGACATTTGATTATTAACCAATTTTGTTTTATTTATTGGAATATGAGTTTTTGTTAGCTGCAATATATTTAAAGCTTTTCTAAACGATACAATGACACAAATACCTATATAATTATCTGGCACCAAAAATAGAACTCAAAAGACAAAAGTCGCTCATGTAAAATGTAACTTCCGGAATGACATGCAGTGTGTTAAGTCGTACAAAAATATTTCGATTGTAACATCATCCGGCGAGGCATAGTATTGTTCCAAGTCAATTTTCAAAAGTTATAACATTTGAATGCTTTTTCATATTTTGGAAAACAAAAGACAGATAACTCTATAATTTTGGCAAAACTTGTGTTTTGTTTTTCATCGAAATTTTTAAAAACACCCCCCTTGACACAAAAATCATAGGGGCTTAATTGTCTTCCAGATTGTTGCATGTTGATTGTAAAAGAAATTAATACAATTTTGAATCTACTTTGAATACACTTAAAAGTTCTTAAAATAAAGAATCAGAGACTTTCAGTCAAGAAAAACCACGTTTTAAAAAGACGTATACCACACTTATATACATAAACTCTACAAGGGACGAAAGCTGTCATCTTGGGAAAAAAATACCCCCATCCGTTTTAGACTGGCTTGCCTGTCTGATATGCGCAATATACAGACAGGTGACCAGTAATGTAAAGAGCCCTCTGCTGGCCGCGCTCATTGGCTGATAAAAACTCTCGCCTACGTAGAAATTTAAATGTATCGGGGAAACCAAAACAGATCACAGAGTGCAGAGATATCGGTCGTTATATCGTTACCTTAAATTCTCCATGCGTACAAAAGCTGCATTGGAAAAAAATAAATAATCCGCGAGGGATGTTTTGAAACAATTCATAAAGTACTGACACTAGTTATAATTTTTTGAAAATGTCTACATATACTTATATACTTTTTGAAAGTTCTCAGCATTTGCTTTTGACGCAATCAATCTAACACGGTCACAATACTTTCCACATACAATACAAATACAGGTAAACTTCGTTATCTCGACATCGACGGGACCATCGGAAAATGTCGAGATATCCGAGGTGTCGAGATATCAGAGTTGAGACTTGACGTCCAAGATTTCATTGCATACAAATCAGACAAGCTTATTACAATGTATATGTACATGACTTCAATATACACTTAGCTCAACGTATTTCAGAATTCCCACTATTTTTATTAAAAATCTAAGAAGTTATCTTAAAAATCTTGTTTATAAAACGTGTTTTTTATCGAAATCTTTCTAAATTCACAAAGTCACAGCATTCGCATGTAACTTGCCTTTTAGTCAGAACAGGATACGAAATGCGCTCTATTAACTTCGAACCGCATAAAGTTGACATCCGATAAACGGAAAAAATTAAATGCGTATTTTTTTTTTCTCATTTAATTCCGGAAGAATGTACATTAAAATCAATTTTTTAAAGAGATTTGTGTATTTAAACTAACGTAGTGATGTTACAGATGCATAAATTACGCCTGATTCTGTCAATCGTGTCTTTAATTGGATTGTTTCCTGTTGCATACATTTTAACTTCAAAAGATCATTAAAACATCTTTTAATTCCTTACTTTGAATTATTCAGTGTGTTTGTTATTCATTGTAATTTAGTTACATTTTTCAAATTTAAAAGTTATGTTATGTTTCGATATAAATAACCGTCTGTACATTTACGCAGAGTCGTGTAGATTTAGCGATGATATTACACAAGCTGAACATTAAGCAATTAACTTCTCGAAGACGCCGAGGGGGCTTGGGATTCACATACAAATACAGTCTATAGAATTAATTAAGCAGCGTGCAGTCAAAACAAGGGTGTGAAAGGTGTGAAATTTTAAATTGACGACGTCGAGATACCCGGAGTCGTCCATGCGTGACGAGCGACCCTATCTGACAAACAGTTAGGTTCAGTAGAGCAGAAAATTCATTATTGCCGATGTCGACATATACCAGGTAAATTTTGCTCTTGGGACTGGGAATATACGTCGAGATAACCCGGGTTGTCGACATTACCGAGGTCGACATATCAGAGTTTTTGCAAATCATTTATATAATAAATTCTGCCGGGACCGCGGAAGGACGTCGACATATCCCAGGTTGTCGACATATCCGATGTCGAGATACCGAAGTTTACCTGTATTCCCTTTTTCAGATTTTGTTTAACACAATTGTTAACATTTCACCAGGGACCTGTATAGGCCTATAGGTTCCTGATTTGCTTCGCCTGGACGTATTTTAATTAGCTTGCGAAGCTCCTATCACATTACATACATTATTTGGATAAAAGAAAACTGCAACATTTGTTAATTGAAACTGACACATTTTAAACATTCATCGGTTTAGGGTGACTCACTGACTCAGCAGATAGCCGCGGCTTATCAGTGTGTTGTGATTATTTCCCATGCCAGAGCGTAGAGCAGCGGCGATAGATGGCGCATCAATCAAGCCAGGAATTCCTGGCTTAGATGGCGGTAGTCACCTGTCTCTTTCGAACGATAGAGACAGGCAATACCAGTCTACACCCGTTTCAGCGCCTATTTGGACTCTAAAGCATTAATTTATTTTGTTGTCATGGTTCTGTCCCCTAAAGTGATGATTTTCCTCAGTAAATGTTGATGCGTTTGTCAGTCGTCAACACGTGTTTAAAATCAACAGAAAACGGAAACAACTTCTTCGATTTGGAGCTCATCTCTCTAAATCGACCTGGGAAGAACGGAAGTTTACAAAATCGCAAGGGCAGATATATGTTATACCACGATTATCGCCCTTGCGTCGTTACCATGCAAATGTAATGTTTTTGTTTTAACATGTTAATATGTTATTGCTATAAAGAAGGAATAAAGTTTTGTTTGAATGAAAGGCCCTAACAATGGAGCCTAATGCCCTAACAGGTGCTCTAAATTTATATGGAGCCTATTGCCCTAACAGGTGCCCTAAGCATGGAGCCAAATGCCCTAAAAGGTGCCCTAACCATGGAGCCTAATGCCCTAACGGATGCCCTAATGACGTTAGGTGTCAGACAGGGTATATAAGGAGAGAGAGAGAGAGAGAGAAACAGATAGCTTGTACTTGATATGTAAACTGTGATTGGATATTATTATACTCGTTGAATCAAAACTCTGCTGTTGTTGTTTTTTTATCAGATCTATAAAGATACATGTAGTTCCTAAATTAAACACAGGATCCACAATATTTTGTGACACAGGGTGACTCACTGACTCAGCAGATAGCCGCGGCTTATCAGTGTGTTGTGATTATTTCCCATGCCAGAGCGTAGAGCAGCGGCGATAGATGGCGCATCAATCAAGCCAGGAATTCCTGGCTTAGATGGCGGTAGTCACCTGTCTCTTTCGAACGATAGAGACAGGCAATACCAGTCTACACCCGTTTCAGCGCCTATTTGGACTCTAAAGCATTAATTTATTTTGTTGTCATGGTTCTGTCCCCTAAAGTGATGATTTTCCTCAGTAAATGTTGATGCGTTTGTCAGTCGTCAACACGTGTTTAAAATCAACAGAAAACGGAAACAACTTCTTCGATTTGGAGCTCATCTCTCTAAATCGACCTGGGAAGAACGGAAGTTTACAAAATCGCAAGGGCAGATATATGTTATACCACGATTATCGCCCTTGCGTCGTTACCATGCAAATGTAATGTTTTTGTTTTAACATGTTAATATGTTATTGCTATAAAGAAGGAATAAAGTTTTGTTTGAATGAAAGGCCCTAACAATGGAGCCTAATGCCCTAACAGGTGCTCTAAATTTATATGGAGCCTATTGCCCTAACAGGTGCCCTAAGCATGGAGCCAAATGCCCTAAAAGGTGCCCTAACCATGGAGCCTAATGCCCTAACGGATGCCCTAATGACGTTAGGTGTCAGACAGGGTATATAAGGAGAGAGAGAGAGAAACAGATAGCTTGTACTTGATATGTAAACTGTGATTGGATATTATTATACTCGTTGAATCAAAACTCTGCTGTTGTTGTTTTTTTATCAGATCTATAAAGATACATGTAGTTCCTAAATTAAACACAGGATCCACAATATTTTGTGACACAGGGACGTTGTGAGTAGTCACTTCTTAAAGCACTGATTTCTGGAATTATCGTCCGAATAAATCCCGAAAAACGTCACACAACCATGTAAACTTCCGTTTCTTCCCATGGCAACACTGTTTGTCATAATCATAAAAATATATATATATATATATATATATATATATATATATATATATATATAATCCTGATTTCTGGGTTAGGGGACCAATGCCATGAAATCTGGCTTAAGTAGACAAAATTTATCTTTTTCCCCTATGCTTTGAAATGAAAACCAAATGCATTTTTGTTGGTACTTGGGCTTATTAATTACCATTTTAACGCTAAATTTTACAGAAAACTTGTAGGTAAAAATATACAAAAAAATTGGTCTCCCTAATATTTTGTAACCCTTTCACGTGAGTTAAGGTGACCAGTGTATATTTTCGTAAGTACTAAATCTGGCTTAGGTGGACATTTTTTTTTCTTACAGTTGTAAGGTTATAGTGAACTAAAATTTAACAGAGAATAGTTAAATGATTCAATTTAAGAATAATATACCGTGGCAGCACAAAATACTTGAAATCTTGCAAGGCACGATAAACAGGAACGCCAGTTACAATATGTACAGCTTCTTGCTGAAGTTTATCAGGCCTTTCAGAGCAGCTGCGGAGATGCTGTTCCATGCTTCTAATGCATATTCCAAAAGTGGTATCGGTCTTACATGTATAAACGTAATACTAGAATACATTTAAGCTAAGAAGTCACCATACGTAACCCTTTTAATTTACGAAAAACTGCAATTTCTTTGGAAGCCTTTTGTATAATACTGTCAGTGTGGTTTGTCCACTCCCCAGGGTTTGAGAATGTAAGTCTAAGATGATAGTGACCAAGAGAAGGATATTCAACACTAAGTGCAATTATATATTTTATCTTCATTGCTGAAAAATATTAATAATTTTAGCTTGGTAATTGGGATTAAATTTCACAAGTCGTTTTTAGCCATTCTTCATTTATAAGTCGTGATTACTCGGCCTTTCTAAGTTTTACACGTTTTGAAAGGTGTTTGACACGAACATGCATCATATGACAATATCCTAGAGGTACCCAATAGACCACCTGGTA